CCGCACGGAAAGATCCGCAGAACCAGCGGAGGAACAGTTAGACAGAGGACAGAGGGCCTCAAGTGGAACCTATATGGCAGACAGACCAGTGACTCACATTAGGTCTTGAATTTACTGCTTTATTTTTCTTTTGGTTCATGCTGGTGCTATCGCTGTGCTGGTATTGTTTGTACTTATGATGCAAGATGTTAAAGCTATTGAAATCCTTGGTCACTAATNGACAGACCAGTGACTCACATTAGGTCTTGAATTTACTGCTTTATTTTTCTTTTGGTTCATGCTGGTGCTATCGCTGTGCTGGTATTGTTTGTACTTATGATGCAAGATGTTAAAGCTATTGAAATCCTTGGTCACTAATAAAAAACGATCCAAAACTGATTACCCGAATTAGCAAGTTGAAGCCTGATAAGAACCGACATCACAGTACTTAGAACCCGAGAAAAACTACCAAGGATTAAATATCTGGTACTCATATCTTTGTGGTTGGTGAAAAAAATAGTCACCCAGAACAAAAGCTAGTTTAAAGCTGACCTAAAAAACCGAAAAGAAAAAATAAGATTTTGAAGTAATATATTTGATAACTATACTGCTGTAGGACATTAGCTAAGTATCAAAAGAAAAGGCCTAACCCGACTTTACAACTTAATATAAAAAAGATTAGGGCCAGACATTAAAAAAAATCAATTCAACCACCTAATACTAAGACGATAGAAGCACACCTCGTTGAGGGAGCAGCAAAAAAAAACACTTACTACTTTATTTTTACTTTTTTAAAGAAAAAAATAAAAAAGTCTTTACAAGCCTTGTAGAGTAAAAATACTGAAATAACATTATGGGAACGACAGCCCCATGCTTCGCACGGCACACCTATCCAACCAGCGAAAGGAAATAGCTACACATGAACAGACCACAATTAAACGAACCGCAGGCGTGCAGCAATCGGGACGGCTTTAATAGAGGTATGATCGAGCGTCAGACGCCGCGGTGGTACCAGAAAGTAGGGTAGGAAGGAGAGGTTTCCTATGAGAGGCCCAACCCCACCAAAATAGCTCTCTGAAACCACAGTGGTCAACAGGGTACTGCCGAATGTGAGACTGGATCAGGGAGGAGAGGTCACGAGGATGATCCCAAACATGCACAAGGTTCAACACTAGCGGGCAGCTCGACCCAGAGTTATCGGCCTTACGCACTTTTTCACACCATCATCGTTTCTGGCTGCCGCACGGGGAGGCTGCTGCTGTGGGGCCGCAAGTGCGAGAGACACGACCCATCAGTGTTCACTCGATCCTATCAACCTGGTAGTTCAGCTGTCCAGTGGCAACAAGCTATCCACGCGGGTACAGAAACAGCTATTGCGGTGGCGCCAACGGGCGGAGGAAAAAACACAAGAAAACCAAGCTCTCTACCTTCCCCTACAAAAGTATGCAGAATCGCATGGACGCATACACATGGCAGCTATGCTCAGCAGTGTAAAATGCGCGTCCACAAAAAACAAAACACAGGAATAACGAGTACTCTAGGCCAGGGTATAAAGGGTGTATGCGCGTTCGGAGGACGGCTGCAGCGCAGAGGATTACAAGGCACAAGTGAAGGATGTGTTCACGCCGGACCGCGCTGATTGAGACAAGCCGCAGGCTGCTGAAGGGCGAGCGCATGATAAGGAAAGCAAGGAAAAGGGGCCAAAACGTGCAAGCGAGAGGGAAAAAAGAGGGACTCGACAAGGGGCCTACAAGCCACACGGCTACTGTAGTACAGCATGACGAGCCCATCAACGGCTCGTCTACAACAACGACACGGAAGGACACCATAAAACGGATGGAGAGGCTAGGGATAGGGGCTGGCCCGATGTCTATGTGGGTCTGTGTGGTCTCTAATCATTCAAGTGACAGGACCCTGGGTGTCAAGAGGAATTGTCCACAGAGGATTGTACATGTGGGACCCTAGCCTACAAGCACTGCTACACTGTGGAAACCCGAGTTCGATTCTCGGATTGGACACCATAAAACGGATGAAGAGGCTAGGGATAGGGGCTGGCCCGATGTCTATGTGGGTCTGTGTAGTCTCTAGTCACTCAAGTGACAGGACCCTGGGTGTCAAGAGGAATTGTCCACAGAGGATTGTACATGGGACCCCAGCCTACAAGCATTGCTACCGACCTGATGGTAGCTGCCTCTCGATCAGTACCGAGTTCGGTAGATGAGCCGGAACAGCGGTAGAGGTGAGCCTCGAAAGTGGCTTGTCACAAGGAGTGGAAGGTCTCCGGTCGTGGATACGGTATTCGCTTGTTGATTATTGGTAACTCAGGGCAAGCAAGGAGAAGTAGTAAAGCAGTCAAGTCAAGTGAAGGCAAGGGGACCGAGCAACCTAGCCTCTAGACGGGGCCCGGCAAACCGGACGTTACTGCTAGTACCTGTTGGGAATAACGCATCCTCCCAAAGGTGCAACTCCTATCAACCGTAACAGTGTAACCGTAACAGCAGCGCATTCCGGCAACCGACGGCAAGGGTTGACGTTCGCTGCATGAGAGAAAGGACCGGGGGTAATGTCCGGTCATTCGTGGAGGCAGCCGGCGTGGCAGACAAGTTCCCCGCCTTGAAGTGCGGCGATCCAGATGTAGACAAGCTCGTCCTATGTAAACGTGGGGGTTGCCTATTGGAGTTGTTCGTCCTGAACAAGCAAAAGGAGAGCAGGGCGCCTAGCAAACGCCGAGCAAAGCGAGGGCCGAAGTGGACGTGCGCTCCTGAACCTGTCAAGCAGCTAAAACGCCGGTGTTTTGATCGCTACTGCACTTCGCCTGCGGCGTTGGAGGCTTTGCTGGGTGATGTTAGCATCAGCGGGTGTGTGCTGGACACGTGCGGGGGGGCGGGTGATGCTATAGTGACTCGCCTTCGAGACACGTGCCAAGTACTTACGAACGATGTACGACCGAGGTGAGGGGATGCTGCGCGTTTTTTGTGTGCTTGGGGTGAGGTATGCGAACTAGATAGCCACCCGTCCTGCCATCCATAGCGCTGGGTGTTCTAGCGTAACGTACCCTTGAACTACCCAACACGGAATGACGTAACTCGTAGGCGCATCATGAACGCTGTTTGCCTCATGGTGTGGTCCGTCGCAAGTATGCTAGCTACAGGCATGTACATCCGGCTAGGCGAGGAACAGTGAATCTGTTTTCAATGCTGCTAAGTTACATAGGACGGACCTAGTTGTGCAATCTACTCCAAGCTTTACGTGCCTTCTTTCGTAGGTCCCGTCGTAGGTAGGTTCGCACCAGCGGACGCTTATTGTTTGTCCAGCCCTTTTTTTCTCGTCGAAGTTTGGCTATGTAAAACGAGATGCGTTGTTGTTTGAATCCTCCACAGTTTCAATAGGCCGCAAACCGAGTGTACTCACGGCACAGATGTTGCTTTCGGTACACGCACATGGAGCAACTCAAGCTTGACTGTATCCGATTTTTGCCGAAGCATGTCGGGGAAACTCGTAGTCTGCAAGTTACCGACAGTGACGGAGGCATTTTTTTTTTCTTTGGTATGGTCCAAAGTCTTTGGTGTTGTTGTAACCTTCGAAAAACCTTTTTCCTAACACAAAAACGTGACAGTGTTGTTTATATTCTGACGCTCTTTGCATCCCACATGTTCGCTTACCTGTTTTTTGTTTTAAGGTTGCCTCCGGACACCAACCTGGACGCGAGCTCGGCGTCATTTGCGGACGACTACCTCGCAGCACACAACGGACAACAACCCGACTGGGTCGTGACGAGCCCCCCGTACAAGGGCGCGCTGGCCTTTATTAAGGCGGCGTTGACGGTGGCGAAGGAAGGCGTGGCGCTGAAATTGCCGCTGTCGTTTCTGGAACCCTGTGCCGACCGAGCAGGTTGGCTTCAGGCGAACCCCCCGGCGCTATGCATGATGATGTGCAGGGCCCGGTACCAACCCGCCCACGTAAGGGTTGGCGAATTTTGGGGGGTGTGGTACCCTCTTGGTAGTGGCTCTAGTAGTATAGCACGAAGCTTTTATTTCTTCCTAGTTAGAATGGGTTGTTGAGAGTCCGGGAGGACGAAATCGCGCATGCATGTGCTTTTTTTTGTGTTCCGCTTACAATTACGTCACTCTTCAGCTAACCTTAGGTGTCAGAGGGCGCGCCTCTTGCGGTAGACCCCACAAGCCGATGTTCCGACATTGAACGTTAATGCGCACGAGCACCTCGTGAGTGCGATAGGAATGAGGGAAACGCACCACTGCTGCGACTGCGCGATTTTCCGGCAACACGTACCCGACTCGAGTATATGGGGGTCAGTGTCTGTCGTTGTTGGGTGGCGAGGACGCTTTCGTTCGTGTGCCGGCGTTTCTCATTGACCTTGTCGGCAGCTTCCCTTTCTGGGTTCGCGACGCACGGCGTGCTGGCCGCGGCATCGGAGCGTGTGTGCCTCTTTTCGTCTTGTGTGAACTACCAAAAGCAGTTGTACCGGGTGGCGTCATGTGAAGAACTGCCCCAAATATTTGTTTGCAGTGCTTCGGGATCTGCGTCCTGTTGTTGACATATTTGCAGCAAGGAATACAACGAAATATTATCAATTATCAAACGGACATCTCCTTAACCGGCGCTACCATATTGTCGGTCGACAACATCACCCGCTGCTGCGTACCCCCGCCCACCCCTTCGTTGGCGAGTTGTTCCTCGTACTCTCGCGCATCCTCTTCGGAGAATCCACACACCCCGGAGTGCACCCCAAACGACGAACGCCCTTCTTGGTCGAAACCACTCCAACGTTCCACGACCGGCGATTCTTCATCTTCATCAGACTCGGACTCGCTGCCACTATCATCATCGTCGGGCAGTACCTCCTCAGGAGTAGACCGTCGCTGCACCCTGGGTAACGTGCTTTGTTCCTCAAGGCATGCAAGGTTGCACTTGCACAACTGTGAACAACGACCTGGACCACCTTTTGCATGCAAACGCAACCCCTACATTGACCCCCCTCTCGGATGAACATCTGCACGACACGATGTGCATTCCTACGCCCGCCCAGAGGGTCACCTTCGGCAATTCACGCAACAAGAGCGAAGCCCCCCCTTCGCACTGCGGATTCGCAATGTACACCTTGCCGTTCCAGTCGGGAATTTTAATCGGATACCCGGCGGACACATTTTCGGAAGGGACGGGCACAATCGAGACCAATACTCCACCACCCATTCCATGCGTAGCACGCAGTTGTTAAGAACGTCGTAATTTGGGGCAGCAGCCTTAATGTCTCCCTGCCCAAATCAGTGTGCGGTCGTGCGCTCGCTGATGGCCTGGACCCATGGCCCTACGTCATCGGCCTACCCTTCCAGGTATTCCGACCTTGCCTGGCGTCCCGTAAGGACATTCACAGAGAGTTTGCAATGTTTTGTAAAGTACGCTAGCGAGACAAACTTCCCGGTTTCCTCTTTGGCCAGGTCTACCCCAGATACCGACCCCCCCTCACGTTGCTCGGAACACAGCGGTAGAACAAAATTGTGGTCACCGGCATCCTCCAACGCGTCGTGGTATCCTTGGAACATACTCAATGCCGTCAAGCCACTAAGCGTTAGAGTAAAGCCAGTCCCGTTAAGAACGTATGCGGAGATTATCGGAAGCACCCTCTGCAAGTTGGTGAACGAAGATGGCCAATTTCGCATTGCCGTAAGATCTTGGAAAAGCTTCAGGACGTCGATGCAGTGGACATTGGTATTACCGTTCACCCCGCTCTGTTGTCGCACGATGATATGCACATCCCGAGTCGACGGATCCACGGCGTACGCCAGGAGAGCTGCCACCCAAATGTCGGTGTCTCCCGAAAATACCTAGTTCATGCAAGTGTGTGTGTGTGTGTGTTTTCGTCCTATTTATGGCGACAGTCCTCATTTTTCGTGGTGAGACGTGTACTACACTTTTCAGCGTATGTAGTCTAGAGTACTACCAGTCTGTCCGGGGAAATAGTACCGATTTGGACATCCGGCAACATAACTTTTGCTGCAGACCGAAATTTCCGAAACGGTTTTTTTTGCTGCGCAGAACTCTTTTCAGCGCAGACGCCAGAAAACGCACTTTTCAAAAAATCAGACCACACACCCCTGTTCACGTGCCGCCAAGTCGAGCCAAACTGAGCTCTTTGGCGGGAATCGCCGGTTGGAGGACTTATCAGCGGACCCACCGACATGTCTGCTGCGGAAAGCGCTGCCAGCAGACCAAACGCAAGAATATGACAACTTCGGAGAAAATAGGCATGGTTGCCGAGCTGCTCAAGGGCAGCAACAACCCTGACAAATTTCACAATATTCCAAATGAGAACTATATTGCCGGATATCTCTGATATTCCGGGGATGACATTCCAGCATCCCCGGTTAGCCCATGACTTTTTTTTTGGGGGGGGGGGTGCTTCGTNAACGCAAGAATATGACAACTTCGGAGAAAATAGGCATGGTTGCCGAGCTGCTCAAGGGCAGCAACAACCCTGACAAATTTCACAATATTCCAAATGAGAACTATATTGCCGGATATCTCTGATATTCCGGGGATGACATTCCAGCATCCCCGGTTAGCCCATGACTTTTTTTTTGGGGGGGGGGGGGCTTCGTACGTCATGCAATGACCGTGGACGGCGATAGAGCGATGTCGATCACCAAAATAGCCCTCTGCGCTTCAATAGTCCAAACCGGAACTATATTGCCGGATGTCCAAATCGGTACTATATTCCCGGACAGACTGGTACACTTTTCAGTGTATTTTTTCGCATAACTACAACCATCCAGGGTCACACAGGAGGTGGTAAACACCAGGGCTTTTTTTCTTCTTTATATTTCTTTTCATTCCCCAGCTTCCTCCTGCGGTGCTTGCTGAATTTAATTTTTATCGCGACAAGTGTCCAGCTGTCCCTTTCCCTCGTCAACGGTGCTAACATCGAAGTTTGGTACTCACGAGAGCTTTTTTAGCTATGTTCCGCTTTCACCCGCAAATTTCGTAAATTTTTCACCCCATATGGATTCGAACTCACGACCTCTGCGACTAGCGGATTACGAGGATACCACTAGATCACCGGGGCGACCGGTGTAGGGGTGCATGAATTGCGTCTGAGTTTTCAAACATGCAAGCGCGATATCTCAGCCTGGGACGGACACTGACCCCATATGAGCGTACGACGCGAGAAGTCTTCCGAACGGCTAGATGAAACACAACTGAGGTTCAAATTCGGAGTTGACGTTAGAAATTCATTTCTGAAGAATCCAAATATGATGGGCCAACATGTGCTACCGTAGCAGGACTCACCTCCACTATCACGGGGTCTTCGCTTGTAGGCACCACCACCCCACCCTCTCGTACCTCCCCCCCCTGCCCTCTGCTCTCTTTGTTGTTCTTCCCCGCCATGTACGCGTGGTGGAGAGCCTGTCGTACGATCGCGCAAAAATGGTGTGGGCGCCGAAAAAAAATTACATCAGCGCAGAGCCTGTCGCAAGAACGTTTCCCTCCACGCCGAACGTCTCGTCGCATGCATCTATCTGTCGTTGTTACTCTATTTGCAATCATCCGGTAGCATTGACTCTACGAAGCTCTCAGTAGTTAAGGTTGTCCACTGAGAAAAAAAAAGTTGGAGTGTAGTCTAGACCTCATTCGACACAACAGCCGGGTAAGGTACCCCCCCACTCGCTCCAGGTCGGCGCTCACCGGTAGGATGGGGTCGATTTGCTCTCCGTCCAATGTCTGCACAAAGCTGGCAGCAAAGTTGAGCAGGTCGAAGGCAGCCTCCGCCGGCACACCGTCCCTAACGTCCCCGGAGAGTAGTTTCTTTATTTTCGTGCGGACTGTTGCGAGGAAGACCTTTCCGCGAATAGCTCCCCCCCCCCACAAGTAATGCAGCCGTGAGGGCAGAATTGGGGATCCAATCCCTACGGTCGGGAAGAGACGCGAGGAAGCTGACCTGGCAGTATCGCATGTGCGGGAT